TGTGTTCTCAGGTCTGCCCTATTCTCTCCTCATTCAAGAAACAAAAGAGAAGGAACAATGGCTATGGGGTATATTCTTGTGTTAGATGCCATAAGCATAGGAGAGTGAGGAACCCAGAATGATTCTTAGTATTTCCTGCAGAACTGCCATCATCTTATATTCAATTCATATTCCTCTTGACAAAGAAACTCTTATGACCCAAAGTCAATGCAGAAAGTCTGATGTCTGAAACAGCTTGGTGCTAAATACTAGTAATACCTCTGATATGGTGTGAATGTTTGCATCTTCTTGAAATTCGTATGCTAAAATCCTAGCCACCTAGCAGGTGATGTTATTAATAGGTAGCAACTTTGGGAGGAGGTAATTAGGGTTCTTCCTTCATGAATGGGACCAGTAACCTTGTAGAAGAGGCCCCAGAGCGGTGCCTTACCTCTCCTGCTGTGTGATCTTCTGGTGGAAAGCAGGTCCCCTGTGAGGAATGGGTCCTTATCAGACATCTGCCAATGTTTCGATCTTATACTTTCCAGCATCTAGAACTGTGGAAAAACAAATTTCCATAGTTTACAATCCATTCAATGTATGGCATTTTGTCATAGCCACTGCAACAGACTAAGCTCCCCTGTCTCACCCACTGTGAAAATTGAGTGCCCCTTTGGTACTGAATCACTTCATCTGCCCACAGTGGAAACTCTTCTCAGCAACTGGCACATAGTACGCACTGAGGAGCTATTTGGTGAGAAGTAAACTTTGGAAGATTACTTTCCAGAACTGTTGTAACTTAATAACTAGCTTAATAAACTTAATAACTAGCAATTTGTTAGTGTCATTAATTCAATGCTCTTAAAACATTTTTTCTCCCATGCAATAAAAGATGCCTCATTTTAATTACCTAGAATGAGGAAGAGAATTTTTCCCATACATTTAGTGACAGTTTCCTTCAGGAATTCTTTATTCAAGTTATGCACTCATTTTTCTATTAAAGTTTCTTTCCTTACTTGTGACACTTCTTGTCACAGGTGATGAACATCTTTTTTAAGTTTGCTTTTTAAATGTTTTAATGATTTTTTTCACAAGCAGACATCTTTAATATTTGCAGAGACTCATCTCTCATCCTTTTCTTTTGTGGTCTGCTAGAGTGCACATTTTCACTGGCAATACAGTCCACTAAATGAATACACTATAATATATTTAATCTTGTCTTAATGTGGGTTATTTAAATGGTTTCTAGGTTTTTCTTTTGTTGTAATATTACAGTGAAGGCTCCTGTACCCGAGCCCTAACATAGTGACATCAGATGTGGATTTCTCATTACTGGAACAAAATACCTGTGAAAGAAGGAGAGATTTAATTTGGCTCCTGATTTCAGTATATAGTTGGGTGACTTCCCTGGAGACACAGCATGGCAGAAGTGTGGTGGAACACACTATGCTCACTTCATTGGCATTGATAAACAGAGGGCAGAAAAAGCACTGGAAAGGGAGGGGCATAGGGGAAATACAATACTAAAGGTCACCCTTCCATGACCAATCTAGACACACCAGAGTGTGCTTCACTAATCTGCTAGGCATCTCATAATCCAGTCAAGTTGACATTCAAGACTAATTCTCATAATATTCAGGAATATTTTTACAGTTCTTTCATATTTGCCAAATTGTTATTGGAATACTAATCTCTAGACCCACGACTCAGATTCCCAGGCCCCAGGATTCATGTCCCAGATCCCTTTGCCTCAAGACTCGGGCCCTATCTTGGCCCCTTTCTTTAAGAGACTTTGACTTCAACCAGTCCTTATTTCACTATCCTTTTTTCTCCTTCCTTAGTAACACTGATTTCTGTAGGCTATTATCTTATTAATTTACATGTTTAATTTTTTCAGTAATTATCTTGTCTATTTGTTAACTGTATTCACTACACACTACACACTATTTGTTAACTGTATTCACTACACACAAAGAACAGTTTCTGGCACAAACTCTTGTCAAATTGGTTGCTTAATGAAATCGCTAGTGAAGGCTTTAAAATCTACTTGTCCTGATCCCATAAATGTTTAGTTATTAAATCATTTTAGCAAGCATACGTTAAGTATCATTCTCTCTGTGTGGTAGAGAATATAGCAGATATTGTAAAGTATGGTTATTCACTAATGTGTAGTTAGGTCCTTGTCAAATCCTTTTTTTATGTAGTGAACACAGTGTGGTCACGAAAACTATGAACAATACTGGAGTCTGTAAAACTATCGTTCTTTGGAAAATACATGGGGAAAACTCAATCAGGAAATTGTGTGTGTGTGTGAGCACGCGCTCTGGGCAGCTTTATCTTCAGTCCAAAAAAAATGAGAGGTTTAAGTCATTTTGCACTATGTGTGTGTTATTTTATTGTAGAAATGTCACATGCTAAATGTAAAATGATTCATGGTAAAATTTAGGATTAGGATTAGGATTAGGATTAGGGTTGAAAATAGACCCACATACAATTAAAAATGGTCAAGTAGAGCTCATTTATCCTAAGGGCTCTTTGTTATTTTTGGACTTTGAATTTTCTGTGCCACTGTGATCTGTAAAGAAAAGCAGTGCACTCAAAATGTAGTTTTTGCTATCATGTTTTACATAAAATGATTTAGTCCAAGGACAAAAAAGTCTAGTATTTATGCCTCTCCCTAGACCAATTAAATCAGATACTCTCTGAAGATAGAATCTAATGATTTCACTGTGCAGACAAGTTTGAAGGTTGCTAACACAGAAGGATCTCAGAAATATTAATGAAGAGATTACTAAAAGTACATTACATTGTGAAGCACAAATCTGGCCACATCATTTGCCCCAGCATTGCCATTCACATGCTATGCAACTTAGATGTGTCACTCTATTTTTTTGAACCTCCACTGTTAAACCTCTTGCTTTTTAAGGTTCCTGCACGCTGTAGACTTTTAACAGTTACCTTCTTGGTCACAGCCAGAACCCAAAGTAGTAGGATTGTGAACAGTCTAAACACAGAATGATTGAGTTGATGCTTCATAGAAATCTTGATCCAGAATAGGGTGATCAACAGGAAGCTCTTTACTGTGGCATCCATTTATCATGGACTGGGAAAGTACTTGTGAGGCACCAGGGGATCTGGCAATTGGAAGAATATCACACAGCTAGCTCTGCACTGAACATGCAGCGAAGTGCAGAGGGACCTACTGTTCATCTCCAAGTAGTCCACTAGGGACACAGAATGCATATAGAGGAACTTAGATTTAGAGAAGAGGGAGAACAATGTATTTGAGCTATTCCTCACAAATCTCCTCTGTCACTGTTCAAGGTCTCCCCCAAGGCTATGCAGAGGTTCCACTGCTCTGCTACCATGGCTGTTTTGCTAATTTTTTTTTAAAGCATGCTACTAGCCCAATTCTGCCACTGTCACCCTACACAGACAATAAAAAAGGACAATTTCTTACTGGGAAAGTTAGCTGCTCATGTTTATTTAAAACTTTGCAAAGGCATGTACAACAAGGGGCTGGTGCTGTAGCTTCCTTGAATCTTGTTATTCTCCAGGTCCCTTTTTTCCTGGGGTACTTTATATGCAGCTACTTAGGCTTGCCTGCTGTGTAAGATTTTGTTACCTGTCCAGAGGCATTCAGTATCTATCTATTCACTCTACAGTGGTCATAAATGATCAGTAACCCTCTACTTCCTCTCAACTATACCGTTTCAGTGAAGGACAGTTTAAAGGTTACAAAAATAAATTATTTGAGAAATTGTGAGAATGAGCACCTTAGAAACTAAGTTTTGTTTGCTTCACAATGGATGAGCACCAGAGAACTGAGGACTGGGACTGGGGATGGCACACAGCTCTGGGTAACTTTTGCTAATTACATTTCAGAAAGAAATGATGTACTTATGGCCCTTTCAACTGCTTGTGTGCTCTTGTTCCAGACAAGCTTCTGATTTTTCAGGATGAACTATGAAGAGTACAAAAAGTGCAATGAATTTTTTAATGGCAAACACAGTTACTAAGTACTTATTTTTTTAAAAAGAAGGATAAAGAGAGAAATGTTTTTTGACCTAAAGGAGCTCATTTTCTCACACTGCTCCCCACTCCCATAAGGATCTCTCTTTTTAAATTTTTGTTCTTATTAGTGCATTCACAGTACATAATGAATATTCTTCGTGGAAAGTGTTACATGTAAATAACACATCCTAATTATCTTTTCATCCCCCTCCCTCCCTCGCCTCTCCCTCTGTCTCTTGGTCCCCTTCCCTTTTGTAAAGGCTCTTTTCTACAGCAAACGATTTCATGCAATTACTTCTGTCTTCACCTCTAAAAAACGGGGGGGGGGGGATGGAGCAGCCATTTGGAAAAGGCACGGGGTTTTGGGCAAAAAAGAGAATCCCTTTAACATAGTGCCATCCTCTGGGACAGACAAGAGGTGCATAATACATGTGATGCCACAGCTAACAAAACAGACTGAAAGAAGGCTGCATTCTTAGGAATAACCTTGAGGCCGGGGTTGGGGCGAGGCAGGGGATGCAGGGACTATCCCAAACCAAATGTCCTAGCAACAAGATGTTATAGGTTCAGATGCTGGGGAGGGCAGCGGGCATGAGGAATACTTGGGAGCTACATTCTCTGGTCCATATAGGGAGAAGCTGTCCAGAAGCCCGTTAATCAGGGTTGGAGCCCGGTTTGGAGCTAGAATCCCCAAGCTTATCTGTGTCCCGACTCTGACCCGGGAGCTGGAAGCATCAGATACGGCTTGTACGGAGAACCGGCCTCACTCGGAACATTTGATGCCTGGAGAAGGCAGAGAAGGGAGCTAGAATGCAAAACAGCTCTAAGATGCGGAAAGAACACCTCTCAGGAATCCCTTCGAAGGAAATTGAGAGCCCCTACGCGGAGACTCAGTACCCCATCCGCCCCACAGGGCGGGGGCAGATTCTAGCCTACTCTGCATTACGGCCCCGCCCCCCGGTGCCCCTCTGTCACTGCGCAGACGCAGTCGCGCCGCGCTTCCGCTCCGGCGCGCATGCTCCGCCGAGCCGCGGCTCCCGGGAGCCGGCGCTGGTCGCGGCGGCGACTGAGGAAGTTTCTGCTTTGCACTCCACCCGGGTAGCGGCTCCGCTGGAGGGACAGCTTCTTCCGGACGCTTGGTGGGCTTCGCTGCCGCCCATCGTCAACCCAGGCGGATCATGGGGTTGCCCAAGGGGCCAGAGGGCCAGGATCTCCCTGAGGTAAGGACCTCAGTCTCGCTCGCACGTCAGAGTTCCTAAGGCGAGGCCGAAAGGTGGGGAGTGGGCGGAGAGGGGCCCAGGGTGCTTTAAGGGTATCCGGTCCCCTTCCTCAGGTGTCCACCTAGGGCAAGTACCATCCCGGACCGCGGAGGAGGAGAGCCTGGCGCCCTGCGTCGGAGGGGCGGTGGGCGGCTGGGGGCGAACTTCAGCGGCTCGCGGGTCTCCGGGGCGGAAGGGCTCTTCCAGCCCGAACCCTGCCTGTCTTGGCCCCGCGCAGCCCGTGCGCCGCCACCTCTGCAGCCGTCCCGGGCCGTGCGCCCCTCCCCCTGCGCTGACGGCTGCCCCGCGGCCGGGGCCGGAGTCACGAGAGGTGCTCGCCAGCACTGTCCTGCCTCCGTCGTGCAAAGGGCGTGTGGCCTTGGACCACCTCCCCTTTCTCTCCAGGTCCGTGGGGTCCAGAGGTCAGCGCTCCGGCCCCCTGTCGTGAAGGAATGCCTGTGCCTCTGCATTTACCCGCTTGGGCTTGGGCGGCAGGAGGAAGTTTGGGAGGCGGGTGTGCACTGGGGTGGTGTTGGAGTGGGGACGCGCGCTTCGGTGGTACCTTGTAGTGGAGAACCGAGCCTGGAGCGGAAATTTGCTGCGTTGCCAAACGACCACAGATATCTTCTCAGAAGTGTTTGTTACTGGGTCCCAGGGACAGGATCATCGGTGTGTTGTTTGGAAATAAAGCGAAAGCACATTCATTTTCTTTTGGTTGAAAATATCATTTAGCTAGGTGGTTTGTGTGAATTTTCTCTTCTAAAAACTAGTCTAGTTTGTTAGATTCTGGAGAGAAATTGACGCCACCAGCAACGCATCCCCACCCCTTTCTAAAGTTGTGAATCAGGCGTTTGGCTGGGAGATTGATGCTGGGACGTGATGAGGAGTCTCTTCCCACTGACCTTTTGCTTCTCTGTACCCCTCCCAGATCTTCAGTTCTTAATTCCCACTAATTGAGGAATCATTATGTTCTGTACCCAGTTGGGAATATAGTGATGGAAGGACTGGCATAGTCAGTGTCCCCAGAAGGCAGATCCATTGTCCAGTTGTTTTAAGAAGACCTAGCAAGTGTTACGTTGTTAGAACTCCTACGTCAGGTAGACGTGCAGGTTGCTTTCGTTTCATGGAAGATTGTTAAAATTTTTTTATGATTTTTGAAGTTTTCTTTTTTTTTTTTTTTGCTGCTTTTTAATTCTAGGCTGTCATCGATCTTTAATCTGGCCTTTTTCTGTAGAATCCTATCAGTTCAGTCACTCAGTTTCCATCTTAAACCCTCTTGTGCTACAAATGGGAAGGAAATCTTTAACTTGCTGCTGGGTCCCTGTAACCTTTTGCACACTGCTAGGAGGCTGAGTCTACTTTTATGATTGTTTCCCAAGAGCGTAAAATAGTTCCTCGCAGTTTTGGAGGCAGCCAGAATGAATATAATCGGATTTTTAGACCAGTCTCTCATCCAGCTATCATTAGCCCAGTCCAGCTAATTCATTAAATTCAACTTTTAAAACCCTTTACTGAATGTTTGTGAAGGATAAAAAGACAGCTGGGCTTGGCCATGCCTTCCAGCTTGCATTAACTGTAGGACAGGGCAATTGAAAATTTATTGGGCCTTGTTTAAGAGCTCACAGTCATTTATTTTTATCAGAATTTTAGTTTTAAATGTGTGTTAGTCATCTAGGTAGCTTTTTATGGCTTCAAGAGAGGTTATTCTTTTATTCTTTGTGTATTAGCTGGAGGCCCTTTTCCATTTTCAGAGTTAATCTGTAAAGGGAATTTGGAGTCAAATATTCCAGCTCCAGTGTCTTGTGCTAAAAAGTTATTTCACAGGCTGTATTGCAGAAGTACAGTTCTCTTTTCTGGGGATGAATGGATGAGAACCAGTGATCATGCATTTGCAGTTGGGTGGTCCCTAGAGCTCTTTAGTGAGATCCTCCTATGATATGTTGTGTGCTTCGTGGAAGGATTTTCCTGATATATGGTGACTGAAAAATTGAAGTATTCCAATTTTACTTACCAGGAATTTTAAGACAATATTTGTATCGTCTGATTATCATTTTCTACTGCATCTTCATGAATTGATATTTGTCTTTTTCTCTGAGGCTCTTCACTTCTAGTTGTTTCTCAGCCATCCCAGACCTTTTGAGAAGAAAAACAGGGTGTGAATAATATTATTTGATTTTTGTGTGGTCAGTAAGAACTAGTGAGTGCTAATCTTTAGAACCTTTCATAGGCTGGACCAGAGTCTTTTTGAAAAAAAGGGGATCAGTAAAATGTACAGTAGCTCAAGAGTGTCACCTCCCCAAGGTGATTAATACACCCAATTAAAATTAAAATTCTGATGAAAATGAATGACTGTGAATAAATTTTCAGTTGCCCTGCACTATAGTTTCATTAGCATGGGACATGCTAATTGCATGTTTAACTTTGTATTAATGTATATCCTCCCATTCCTGAGAGTTTGAATTTGATTTTCTGTTATCAGTGTTATGACTATAAAAACACTGCTAATACATGACTTCATGTAACACTTGTGTATCATTCTCTGTTTTGTAAGTATGTCTGTTCCTTTTATTACACACAATACTAGGCACCCACAACTTAAAGTGGAGGTTTAATTTACCTCATGTTTTAAGGAAATTCAGTCCATGGTCAGCTGACTCCAAAACAGAAACAACATGGCAGAAGGGCACAGTAGAGTAAAACTGCTTAGTTCATGGCCTTTGAGGAGAAGAGCAGGAGAGAAATTGCCAGAAAGGGACAGGAGAAAGGAAGTTGGTAACCAGGGCCATAATCCTGTGATTCACCCAGACACACCTACCAGTTCTCCAGAGAAATCCCAAATCCAGTCAAGTTGAGACTCCACCCTAACCACAACAGTATTTCTTTGAACCAAATCTCATTTAGCTCCAGTGAGGTAAACAAATATGTATAATATATAGATTCTTTAATAAGCAAGCTGGTAATTCAGTCGATAATACAGGCATGTATGTAATACTTGACATATTACTCAGAAGAGCTACTTGGTACTTCATTGCATGAATGGCATGGATGGACATAAAATGGTGATGCAGAAATGAACATTTCAGCAGGATTTGTAAGGGGTGGCATCTAATAGGAGCTAGAATTTGACAGTGATCACGAGATTATTAGAAAATGTCAGGGGAAGAAGAATTTTGTGAAGTAAAGAAATGAGAATGAGCAGTGCTTGGTTGGCCACAACCATGTTAAGATTGTTTGGTGGCGAAATAAAGGGATGAAACTGAAAAAAGAGGAGGTTGTAGCCAAATATCTAATTGCTGAACCAAGAAATTTGAAGTTTATCTTATAAACAGTATATGATACATTGTGATAAGGACTGGGGATTAAAGAGGAACTATGTGAAAGCTTTAAGACAGAGTGAGGCAAAAAAGATTTAGAGGCAGTTATAATAGTCACAACATGAAATATGAATAAAAGGGAGTGCTATATGTGAGGTGCACAGCAAAGGAAGATATAGCAGGTGGTGGTGTACGAGGAAAGTCAGAGATAAGCATGAACATTTGAACCAGAACCCTTTGATGATGTTTTGTACGGAATAGTGATTTTTAAATTTTTTACAATAATGGAAGACAGGAAAGGCAGCTCATGAAAATAAATGATGGTTGCAAAAAACCTAGAATATTTAAGTGGATTTAAGTATTAAATACCTGTAGTAAAGAGGATATAATTGAAAATTTCAAATCAATCCAAATTTAAATATATTGATGCATTCATATTTTTAAGGGCAGTATATTATGTGGCAATAATTATTCCTTTATATGTCTGCATTGAAAACCTTCTATAGATTTGCTTAGGGATCTAGAAAAGAAATGCAGAAAAGGTTACTTATTTGAATGTCATTCTTTGTTCTTCTCGTCAGTAACTTCCCAGACTGAATGAGTACAGTTTAAAATCCAAATGTCTTGTTTTGTCTGTGAAGAGCTTATAATGTAGTTGAGAAGCTTGTCGTGTAGACCATGTATTAAAGAAAAGAAAGATAATGTGCTCTAATCTTCCTTTTCTGTGGATTCCTTTAGCATGTGGTAAACTCTTCTCCCAACCAGCTATGGTGATTAACAGCTTCTTGAAGAGTAGAGACCTCATATTTTGGAATTCTGGCAACACTGACCGTGTTTGTGTAGATGCTTATTGAATTTCACAGAAAATCTGGGGCAATGAATAAGCCATTGTCATCTATTCCTTGATAATGAGATTGTGGCATTATACTTGGTTTCCCTTTATTCAAGATAGCTTTTACTAGCCACACTTGTGACTTTTGTTCTAGGTCGAAACAAGAGAAGATGAAGAACAAAATGTCAAGTTGACTGAAATTCTGGAACTCTTGGTTGCAGCTGGATATTTCAGGGCAAGAATTAAAGGCTTGTCACCTTTTGACAAAGTAAGTGGAAAGTTTACCACTGGACTGTTTCTCATGAGGATTTCACTGTTTGTCATGGAAGAGAATGAAGGAAGAGATTGTTTTTGCTTCCTCCATTTCCTTGTTAACATCCTTAATGCAGATTCATTATGGAAATATTTTTTCCTAGTTAAAGAAATTAAGGATCAGCCACCAGATTGTTAAGTTACTATGCATGAAGTTTTAGAAAATGCAACAAGCCAAAGAAATACTTTCTTCATTCAAGGAACTTACAGGTAGAATGAGGTTATAAAATTCATGTTATAAAATAATCTGAGTTAACAATTATTCCAAGTCACTGTGTTCACAGGCAGTTGACATATATTCCATTGATAGCAAATGCTCTGAGTTTGGAGGAGGGAGAAGCCACTGTGAAATAGAATATTTTAATGTAGAAGAACCATGAACAATTACGATACCACAACAGAGGTTAAGGGCACTGATACCCCTGCGGAAGAGAGACAAATAAACTAACATGCATAGAATGAATGGCATGATACAATAAGTGGCACAGTATACTGTGCGCAGAATGTATCTGACCTATGGAGCAGGTTGGGAAATTTTTAGGACTCTAATACTGAGTAGTTTAGGAGGTCACAGTCCTGGCTGTGCATAATGACGTCATGTGGGTTATTTTATAATATGTGTCCAGGCCTAACCCATAGAACTTCTAGTTAGATTTGGGCTGAGACCCTGAAATCTTTATTATATTGGACATATCATATGAGTCTAAAATGTAGCCTGAGATAAACTTTACTGTTTATTGCTATATCAAGCCGTGTTTGAAAAACATTTTGTTTCAGAGTGGTTTTTGGCCTGAGACTTATTTGCATCTTAGAAATCCTGTAAAAAAGTAGAGCACAGATTTCCATCTTCTTTAGATAGATGAAAATTTGTGTGGAAATTAAATAACAAGCCCAGAAATGCCAACCCCACTGCACTTATGTCTGGTCTATAAAACAGTTCCTCTGGAGTCTGGCACTTGTCTGAAACTGGGTCAAGAAAATCTTTCAGCTGAAAGTTGATGTCTGTCCTCTTACTACGAAGAAGATCTGTAGATAATATACCCATTTAATAATAAAAATGACATTATCATTTCAAATACTCAGAAGCCACACATGACTGACTGGTGTTGAACAGTTCAGGTATAGAACATTTCCAAAATTGCAGAAAGATTTACTTAACTGCTATTTTAGATGAATGTGAGGAGAACATTTTCTCTTGAAGTCACATATTTTCTATATTTACTGAGAACAGTTTATGTAGTTTATCTACCTTTTATTTCTGCTTTCCCTGAACTAGAAAGAGAAAACAAATATTTCTTTGTTTCTTACAGGTAGTAGGAGGAATGACTTGGTGTATCACCACTTGTACCTTTGATATAGATGTTGATTTGCTCTTTCAGGAAAACTCTACAATAGGTCAAAAAATGTAAGTTATTTGAGTTTGCGGTAGAAGAGCATAAAGTGGGTTGGAAGGAAATTTTTGTGGGGCTGGGTCATTATGTGTTATATTCACATTCTTTTTCATTCATATTATGCTGTATGTAGTTATTCTTAATATAAACTTTAAATGCATACCTGTGGATTATCTCCAACTCTTTTAGCCCGAATTTGTTACTCTTCATGTAGCACATTTCAGAGTATATTTGATTTGATTTTTTGGTTTTTTAATTGCTATTACTATTTATTTGCTCAGTAATAGAAACTAATGGTACTAAGCCAAGGAAAATAGAACTGGGTCAGAAAATCCTATAGAAAATATTCATAAGTGTGTTCCAAAGCTGTTTGTGATTTTTCAAAACACATTGTCCATGCCATTAGTATCTTTGTAAGAAGGTAATAGCAGGCAAGTGAATCTCATTTCTTAGTTTCTTGGTGAACTGACCCTTTTTCCTATTATGGTCCTTATTGCTGGTAATACTTCCTGTCCTGCAGTCTACTTGTCTGATATTAACATAGCTACTGCCGTTTTCTTTTAATGTTTCATGGTATATAGTGTTTACATTCTTGTAATTTTTCTTCATTTTGAAAATTGGTTTCCTTAGACATCATGTAGTGAACATTTCCCTTCTTAAACAATCTGATAATTTTTTAATTACTCTGTTTAGATGATATTTAATGTACTTATGATATGGTTTATTTTAAAAATCTGTCTTCCTGCTGGTTGTTTTATATTTTTTCATTGACCTTTTTCTGCACTGATTGGGTAGTTCTCTGTGGCTCTACTGTATCTTTTCTCTTGACTATTAATTTTCCTTCTTTTTAAAAATTTAGTGACTGCCTAATATTAAGATATTTGTAACATGTATTTTTAATTAATTAGTCTTTCAGTAATGCATTACTTCAGATATAGTGTAAGACCCATATAACATACTGCTAATTCCTCCTTTTTCTCTTTTTGTACTGTATGTTTATTTTTTAAATGTGTTATATAAACTTCACAGTACAGTGCTCATAGTTTTTGTTTTTTGGTACTGGGAATTGAACTCAGGACCTGCACTTGCCTGGCAGGCGCTATGCCACTCAGCTATACCACTGACCCTTTTGCTTTACATCATAGATTAGCAAACTTCTACTGAATAGGTCCAGATAGTAAATAGTTTAGGCTTGTCTCTGGTTTGTTGTTATACTGCAAAAGTAGCCATAGATATATACACACAAGTGAGCGTGGCTGTGGGGACCTAACTTTTGAGTGTCTCAAGTTGTGCTAGATGTTTCTTGTATTTTTCAACTTTCATTGCAGCAAATACTCTTCCAGTTAATAGATGGAACTGAAGCTGAAAGAAGCCAGAGTGACACAGCTAGTGTATAGATTGTTTAATTTTGAGGCTATTGCTGAACATGTTTCTCGATCACATTTCCATTGACTGTATAATTCATCTTTGTGAAAGACATTCATCTGGGTGGAAATAGATTAGAGAAAGAAAAGGAGACTTCTCCTTTCCATTGCCTTCATTGTGTTAGGCAGAACCTTATTCTGCCTGCCTTTAAGAGAAGGCAGCTTGGGCTCCTTGTTAGGGATTTCACATGACACTTTCACAGTGTCATGATTCAGCAGAGCCTTGACCATGTTAGTAAATTATTTAGGATACACGGTTCTGCTCTCACACCTGCCAGTGGCCACCCTGACTTTGGTCAGGCCACTTCTTCTTTGGGTCTCAGTTCTGTAATCTGAAAGAAGTGAATTTTTGAGTTCAGATATATACAATTCTGTGATTTATTTCATTTTCTGAAATATTACCCTCTCTCAAGAAAAAACACTCCCAAAAGGATTAAAAATGGTTATAAATATACACAAGAATCAATAATAGTGGAAAAGCAGAGTAAAAGAAAAGGAAAAAAACCTGGGGACATGTGTAACAGGTCCTCAAAATGCTTTGTTTTCCAAAGATTTGGCAGTAAGCTTTCTGGCAGTGAACAGAAAGAAAAACGTGATAAATCTTCCTATTCACATTTGACTTATAGAAGGAAAATTGGTTCTTAGGAATCAAATTCTTAGTAATAAGACCAGTGGACTACTCTCAAGGCTTCATTAAAAAGAACACTATTTAGCATTGTGCACTTTAGTGGTCAACCATGAGTAGCGGGGCTCTGCATCCCTGCCATCTGCTGCTCTGAGATCATGGCATCCCAACAGGCCACTTGTAGTGAAAGATTTCCTCAGGAGGCAGTACATGGAGTCCAGGTGTGTGCCCTCCTCTCTTTCTCTCTGGAGGTAGGTTTTGATTATACAGTATAGGTGTGCTATACCTGAAGTTAAAAAAATCCATATATAACAGAAGGATATAAAAACAAAACTGATGTCTCTTCTTTGCATTCTACTCCAGATTCTACTGCAAATTCTTTGCATTTTATTCCCTGGAAAGAAACATCTTCAACTGTTTGAGGTTTTGGTTTCTTCATCTCCAATCACAGATTTATCTGTTTCATTAAAGTCTGATAAGAATGGGAAATTATCTCACCTAAACTCCTCACAGCATCCCCTTCATCTTCTTTCAATCTTTTATTACTTTTAAAAAATATTGTTGCCTAGTTTTAAACTTTCATTTTTTGATTTGTTACCTGTTTTTTTTAACTACTTAGGATGTACATTTTTAGCATCTTTATTTTTCCTCCTATTTTCATCTATCACTACCTTTAAAATGGTATAAGAGGATATTCATAATAAGTTGGCCATACTTTTCAGGAAAATTCTAAAATTAAATCTATAATCAGTTTGGAATAAGAGCTGAGAATTGTGATAGAATCAGAGTTCCTGAGTAGGTGGTAGAACTGGAATTTAGGTCTAGGTCTAACTTGCTTTATTTTAAACTGTCTGCAATAGAAAACAGTACATGAACACTTAAAAATTATAACACTTAAAAAAATAACTACGCATAATGACAAGTGGTCATTTTAAAATCTTAGACCAGGTGACCTCTGTTGTCCTCCCCCTGGTTTCTGAGTAATCGACAGACCCATCCCAAGCTCCAGAAAGAGGCTGAGTAGGGGCTGGTGGATATTTGTGGGAAATCTTTTTGATTTCCTTCTGTGCCTGCGGTATCCTTCCCTTGGGATACTGATGAACAGATGAATGGACTAGTGCTGAGGGGTATTCAGAGAGGACCCTGCTGGAAGGCAGGGTGTTGTGCTGAATTATCTTGGGGTCTCAATCTCTTGATTTTATTTAAACTGCTGACTGATTCAGTAATCCTATGTAAATCAGGTGATTTGTAACCACTAGAGGGAGCGCTCCTCTTGCTGAACCAAATGTAACTATAGAAAGGCTGTGTTCAGGGTTTGGTGCACAGGTGTCCAGCTTGAATGAAGTTAAGACATGCATTGAGCGAGACTCAGAATCAGCACTGGTTCTTATCTTCACTTGCTCAGCTTAAAGTCTGAGTAGCAGTGGCAGTTAAACACTCATCTCTTCCTCTCTTAAGTTTCAAAGGAATTGAACAGGCATGGGAGCCTGGTAGAGATCAAAATAAAAAATAAAGCTTATTAGAGAAGGCCTCGATGTGTTACCAAGGGGATTTTTTTATATTCCACTGCCAGACTATCCCGTTGGATCCCTGAGAAGACCTGTTAGCCACAAACTTCCTCATTGGTGCTGACCACACATTTCTTGGCAGAAAAGATAAGTGTCCCAAAGCAGCCTCCTCACAAAGCAGTGGCTACTGGAATGACTGAGACCTCCACGTGACAGCTTCCTTTATCCTCTCAGCCCTTTTAGAGCAGCTTCACTGCTTTCTGTTGGAGAGAGGTGAGGAGAAAGAGGCAGAAAATATTCTCCCATCTGACTCTCTTCTATAGGTAGAGACTTATTCCCTCTCTGAATATATGCAGTAAGGTATCAGCCTGTCCTCCCCATGTGTTTTTCTTTTAACATATGAGAGTAGACGTGGGTCAGTGGAGTTGACTGTTTCAGAAGTTTTTCCTTACTTATATCTCTGAAACTGATTTCTAGATAACAAACTTTAGTGTGGCTCTAGTGTGGACTTAAAGACCATTCTCTAGGGAATTGTTCTAGTCACTTTCCTTTTACTGGACAAAGTACCCAACACCACAACTTAGAAGATGATAGCCTTATTTTGGCTCAGTTTCAATCCATGATGGGCTGACTCCAAGGCAGGAAAAGAATAGCAGAGGTTTATGAAGGAGGAATAGCTGCTCCATCCATGGAAGCCAGGAAGTGGGGAGAAGGCATGATCTGGGATAGGAGATCTGTCCTCCCAAATCATGTCCCTAGTGACCCACCCACCTGCAACTAGCTCTCACTTCCTAACAGCCCATCCATGGATGAGTTCACTAGTGAGTATAGTGCCCCCACGATCCACTCAACCTTCTTCACACATGAGGATTTAGGGGGAACAGCTTAGATCTAATCCATAATGAGGGTTGTTTAGTTTTTGCCTCTAGGTCACTTTATTCTTACTAAGACTACCAGGGAGTAAAAATATCATGCTCCCACACAGGTCTGCATGCTGTGTTGAAGTTTAGTGTCAGTTGAAAGCACTAGCCTATTCATCTGTGTTGAAACTGTGTGTCATTTTCCCAGCAAGCAACTACAGCAAGACAAGTGGAGATTTCTTTGAAAAAGGAACTTTTTGGGAGACCCAAAATCTGTTGAATTTGAAATATCTGCTAAGCTATAAGTAACTCTGTTCACCAGGGCCTGCCTTCATGAGGAGATAAGTCCTTCGCTTATAAACAAGATCACAGTTGCTGCTATGACCAGCTAAGATTTTTTTTCTGGGTGTGGATATTACAGAAATGTAACTTAGAAGCCCTATTTCTCTGTACAGCTCCAGAAAGCCATTCCAAGTAACTATTTTTAAAGTTTCTCAGTCATCGTGCCTTGGCTTTTGGTATTACAGTCTTACCAAATAATCTTTTTTCCTTTCTTCTCAAATTGATATAAGTAAGGTATAAGAAACAGATCAGAGATCTGATGCCTGCTGATTAGAGAAAAGTGATAAGAGTAGATTTGCACACAACACCTCCTTTCTCTGACCATAAACTGTCCCATCCAGGCTGAGCTGAGAAACCTCCTCATCATAGCGAAAGTTTCCCTTTCTGTGGCAATAGTAGCTCTCCCAAATCTAGGATTGATTTTAGAGTACACACACATAATAATGTGTGTACTCTTAAAATATTTTTGTACCAAAGTATAAAAAGTATAGGTCATTAAAATTAAATGTGAAAGAATAGGGAGCAGTGATAACTTTATTTTACTATGTACAAGTATTACAAGTATTGCCACTTCAACATCACTATCATTTCATAAAGAAAACACTTCAACATTGAAAAAAACAGGAAGAAAAACATTTTAAATAAATGAAGTTTTGTGACCTTACATGCAAACCTAAGTTGTGCTACTTTTTCTTATTTTTCACTCGGCCAGGAGAAACTCAGTCATGCCCTTACTCTTGATCTATGAAGCCTAAGTCCTTGTATGATGCCCAGAATTTAGAAATTTATTGCTACTCACTATGTTTTCACTCTGCTTGTTTTTCTCTGACAGAGCTCTGTCAGAAAAGATTGTCTCAGTCCTTCCAAGGATGAAATGTCCACATCAGCTGGAACCCCACCAGATCCAAGGGATGGATTTTATTCACATATTTCCTGTTGTGCAGGTAAGATCTTCTGTGTGGTTTCTTACCCTCTCATTCCTATAATACATCTGGCCCTTGGATCATCTGGCCTGGATCCTGGGGTTTATAGGTGTGTAATGGATTTTTTGCAACAGAATGTGATAGTGTTGCCTGTCACCGTTTTAAAGGTTTCCAGTACACTAGGACCCTAGTTCAGTGGTGGTGGACCTACGACACACATGTCATTTTTCTTTTAGGATGAAGGATGTTAATGTGTAAGTTTTTTCTAAACTAAACCCTCAGTATTCGGGTTTAATTGCAGTGTTGGCACTTTGCGATAAATGAGTGGGTTTTGAGTTGCTGTTTGGGCACTCATCTCTCAAACGGTTCACCAGCACCGCCCTAGTATTACACTGTTACTTGTTATGCTCTTTCAGTGTTCTTCTCAGTCATTTTTATTATATTGTGAATAAAGGTAAAGCTCCAGAGCCTTGTTCTAACGTCTTTCTATTTAATATTCAGCTTTAGTTCATTCTTTACTTTTTTATTTTGTTTTTCATTTTTTGTTATTCTAGCCCTTCTTACTTTGTTCCAGATTTTTCTAAACTGATGCTTCCTCCTGCCACCAGACCTTTGTATATCCTTTGGGCTGGAATGCTCATCACTTCTTTCTTTACATGCATTATTCATGTTCATCCTTCTGATCTTGATTCTGCCAATCCTTCCTTTGCTACATATTCCTTTCCTACATATTCCTTTGCTTTGTTCTTCATGTAGTTACATTCCCTTCCTTCACAGGAATCTTCCTCCCTGGAGTTTATAACTGTGTGTATTGATGTGTGTGATTATTTATCTGTCTGTCCCTTAAGACTGCAAGCTTCATGAGGGCAGGCACCGGGCTTGTCTTGCTCACTTTTTATATCAGTGTGTCTGGCAATTTACAGGCACTTAGTTCTTACTTGACTGTTAAAAGTCTTCTGGGAGACTTCTCTTTGGCCAGCTTTTTCCCAAGGCTGTGATTGAGTGGCCTTTGCTGTCAGCTTCCTGTATTCTAGGCAGTTCTTGTTTCTGGACTTCCTAAGCACCTGGAAAAAAGGAAGAGCAGAGGACCTTATGTTTGTTTCCGCTGTATAAACATTACCTTGCACCTGATCCTAAAAGTGTTTCTATTTTAGACATCTATTATAATTCCAGTCCTACTTTTGAGGAAAGTGAGACTCAGCATAATCAGTTTGCTGAGGTCAGAGAACTGGTGGGTGGACTAGTAAAGATTCTAGTCTGAGCACTCTCTCTAAGCATTGTGCCCTCCTATTCCACCACTCACACAGCCATGAATAAGGTAGTTGCACAACTCTTGTTAGAAATCTTCTGGTTCTGTAGGATTTCATAGTGAGGAGTTAGGAGCACAGACTTTAGAGACTCCCTAGGTTTACTTCACCCTGAAGTTAAGCTTGGTGGTACACACCTCTGATTCCAGCACTCTGGGAAACTGAGTCAGGCAGGTGAATTAGAATTTTGAGACCTTGTCTCAGAATAAAAATAAAGGAAGAAAGAACTGGGAATATGGCTCAACATGAAGGCCCTGGGTTCAATCCTCATTTTAACAAAAAGAAATAAAAAAGCTTTGCCTCTGTCACTCTCTGGCCATCTGACCTTTAATGGCTTAACTTTGCATCTGACAGGATGAGAAATAAGTTAGTACATGTAAAGTATTTACATACATTACTGGTAGTGAACATTTTATAAGCATAAAATACTGGCTTGTGTTGTCATCTGTTCAGTCTTCCTCTGGACTAGACTTCAGATAAAATGTCTGAGTTGTGCTCACTTCAGCATGTATACTAAAATACCCTAAATTTTATAAATTTATAAGCTAAATTTGTTAATTTGAGGTTGAGAGAGTTCGGTTCAGAATTTGACTTGTATGTTTGATAAACTTTGTTTGATGCAAGGAAATGGTACCTTACCTTTTTTGTGAATATGAAAAGTCAGGGCCCCGTGTTGATGATTGCTGAATGCTCCAATACTGCCACACTGTAAAGCTGTTACGTATCCCTCAAAGCATGGCTCTTTTAGAGGTTAAACTTACTCAATCGCATGTTAGACATTTGGGAACAAAAAATTTAGTTCTGATGTTAAAAGATGAATGGGAAATGATGTTCCACGATCAGTTTTGGCATTTTGAGGATTTGTGAATGTTCCATGTTGTGAGTGGAATTTTGAGAAGTTACGGTCTGGACAGGAGCGCCTAGACTAGTGGTTAGCTAATTTTTTGATTTCATGAACGCATAAAATTATAAAGCAAAAAATGAAGGTTGATGTTGGGTCAGCACTTGTCCAGGCAGGAGTATTTTTAAAAGTAACTACAATCTTGTTTTTCCTATAATTTCCTAGAGGAAAGGCCATTTAAACTTCCCATGACAAGAGGACAGTCTTTCAAGTTGAATATGTTTAGCTTTATGGAAAACTCACACATGCCTCAAGGGTTTTCCTGTTTCTTAAAGCCTAGCTATAGACCAGTGGTTGAGAACAATTAACCTAGCTATTGCAAGTAATTCTGGAGGCTCACCAGCTATGTTCACAGCGTTTGACAAAGTACTCTGAAAGCCAGCTGAGAAAAAAATACGATTTAACTTCCAAACCTTTGTAGTTCTAGGGCATATCTTATTCTACCATGCCAGAAGTATGAGTGCTTGGAGGTAAATATTTGTCTCAAGCCCTGAGAGACCTATGGCAGATCTTGACTGCATAAGAGCTATCCCACTACAGCCCTTCCCTCTGGGACCCCAAAACAGAGCTGTTTATTCTCTGAGAGAATCCTGAGACTCAGCAGGCTTTCTCTGCCTTCTTCACACTTCAAGATCCCACTTAGGAATAACTAAGATTAAATCCAAGATTAATGGAGTCAGATCTGAAAAGGAAACAGACACAAAAAGCTAAAAACCGGGTTTTCTGATCTGAAAGAAAGCGGAGCTAAATTGAGTTGAGCAATAAGTTACTTTAGTGGTCCAGAGCTGTGGTCCTAGGGTGGGAGTATGGATGGATGCTCTGGTATTCTGGATGCTCTCTGATCCTCTTTTGCTTCTGCTTTCAGTCAGTGCCCAGAGCCACTGTTTGGATGCAGAGTGGGGTAGAGCAGTAGAAATAAACAGAAGGTACTAACACCAGAGGAATATTTCCCATCTAGTTATTGGCAGCCACTCCTGTCCTGGACACCCATTCCTAAATATGTTCTTTGCTTAAGCTGGGCACCCTCTACACATGATGTTCTTCTTGTATCTACTTTCCTAAGCTTCATCAGATCTGAGTGCTTTTGGTAAAAATATAGCTAGTACCCAAAAACTGTTTTGGGGGCTGGAGATGCTTTTTCTGGAAAAGGAACAACAACTCTGACAAATGATTTCCTGTGTTATATCCTTCATTAATAAAGGGAATAAATAGCAAGGAGAAGCACAAGATTTTTCTGCACCATATACTCCTTTCTGCATTCTTACCTGTAGTTCTAGGACCTTCCACAGGTTGTGGCGTGTGTGTGTGCGTGTGCGTGTGCGTGTGTGTGTGTGTGTGTGTGGGTGCGCATTCACATGCATGCACATGTGTGTTTTAATTACCTGAAATTTTGAGTTGCTTCTGGGTGTCAACCCAATCAAGCGGAAAGGATCTCCCCAGCTTTGTGGCTACAGAAGATGAACAAATTACGTTGTCTGTGCCTCAGATTCTGTGAAACTAGGCTAGTGTCATCTACCTTATAATGTCTTGAGGATTAAAAGAAAGTGGTGTATCAGGCTAACCCAGTGTCTGGGATTTTTAGTACAGACTGTTTTCAATCCTAATATTGTGGGGATTTTCTTATCAAATGAAGGGTTGTGTGAGATACTGTCTGTGACCTTTCCCAATTCCCTGTTCTGTGATGCAAGCAGCACAGCAAAAAGTTTCTGTACGAGCCACCACTAGGGCCAGTGGTTGGAGAAATATTTGCCTTGTACTTTAGATATTTACAGAGCACTCTCTGTTATGATTTCATTTGCTCCTGTTTCAACTGTGTACGATCAATAATATCAAGGAATTGATGATCTTTTTTTCTCAGAGAGGCAGACTGAAGCCTGGAAATGTGAAGTACAGTTTCAAAACACTTACGCAGATATTTGGCAGTAGTCCCACTGGGTCTTACCATCTGGAGTGCCCTGCCAGCTGCTTCTCTGTTAAGACAACTGCTGATTGGCATTCAGAAGATACATTATGTCTGAGCAGGACTTTGCCACAGTGAGATTTTATGACGACTCACATTTTCTCACTTATTTCTCTAGTGGCTGGTGAAACGAGCTATAGAAACAAAAGAAGAGATGGGTGACTACATCCGTTCCTATTCTGTATCCCAATTCCAGAAAACTTACAGTCTCCCTGAGGTCAGTATTGTGCTCTTCCTTTTTGTCCGCTGAAAATGCGTGTATATTTAGAGACTCCCAGGAAGGAGGACATAAAATTGACTGCCCTTTCTTGGTCTCACCTCAGCTTTGAAATGGGCTTTGTGATGCAATAGAAGTGCCCCTTTAGATTGCCATGGGGTGTCAGGCCCTACATTGCTGCCATTTCCTTTGAATTTTGGCACTTAATCCAGAACTTGTATTAAACTACAAAAACAGGGATGTATTTTTATGTAAAGTTTTTTGAGAGATTACTTGCTTAGGACATTTCTATACTAGTGATTTTGAATAATTAAGCTACAGTAATAGCTAAGTACTATGGAACAGTTACTGCATGCTAACATTTTGTATATTTTCTGCCCTTCCAGTTATTATTGTCCTTGTTTTGTTGAGATCACTTGTCTTAATTGCTACACTCCTTATGGCTGAACAGACCTATGCTGGAGGTGTCTACCGAGATTCTAGCCTTTTTCCTTTGCAAATACAGTACATTCCAATTTGTTGGAAACTTGATATGACTTGAGGCAGTACAGTGATAAGTCAGTTTATATGGAAGATTGTTGAAGAAGCCTATTGGGTTTTAATCTGTCTGTGGGATTTGTTTAATTCTTGTTTATCTTTCAGGATGATGATTTCATAAAGAGAAAAGACAAGGCCATCAAGACATTGGTCAACCTCTCAGTAAGTTCCCTTGCCCATATTTCTTGTCCTGGCACCACGTTAGTTTCTGGTAGCCCTTTTTAAACTTACAGCTCAGCTTCTTGTTTGCTCACTGCCCAGACACCGCTGTCTACAGGTAGAATTTGTCACAGCCAGTGCCTGAGCGCTTGCTTTCAGTTTTAAGGGAGAAATACCCAAATGCAAAGTGCTTCCTCATTTATTCCAGTGGCAGGAGTAAATTTTGAATTGCTCCAAAGAGCAGATGGTCAACTGGAAATGATAAATTGAGGGTAGTGCTGCACATCCATTCCCACTATGACTGGAGAGACTGAGCAGTTTCTGGGTCTCGTGGGTAACAATGGGGTGTCCTTTGTCACCATACACAGTGCTCCTTAATCACAGGGTATCTATACACCTGCACGTATTTCCCAGCACTTCTTTTTTTGAGACAAAGTATCACTGTTTAGTTAAGGCTGCCCTTGAACTCACTGTGTAGCCCAGGCTGACCTTGAACTCATGGGGATCCTCCTGCTGTGGCCTTCTGAGTGCTGGGATTACAGGCCTATACCACCACTCCCAGCAAGCTAGTGCTTTTCAGGACACTAAACCAGAGCCACAGTAGCATTATTAGTGGCACTTTCTGTCCCTGGCAGGAAAGAAGCCCTCGTGCCTCGATGTACAATCTTCTAGAAACAATGCATAGTATTACTTTGCATTTTGTTTACTTCATCTAAGCTGTATTATGCCTAAAGTTTTAGTCAGTTTTGTAAGATTGAGCTTGGCTTATGTATGTTGCATTAGGTGACTTTTATACTTGCGTTGCCTGTTAATATGCTACCCAGCTTCACTATCAGATACTTTACTCAGGTGATTTGCATAGCATTGTAAGTTAAAGGTTGAGTTTGTCTGCCATTTATCACTTTGTGAACTTGCTATGGAGTTTTTCTGGAAAAATAATTCTAAACTGATTTAGCTTAATAAGTTTGTGGTCTCCAAAATGATTACCCTGAGAAGAACAGTAGTTAATTGCTGATGAAAAACATGAAGTGCTCATGTAGAACAAGAAAGTTTTTGTCTCTTGATAGTTGTAATCTGTATGTTTTTCTCAGTTATATGGTGGAAATGGAAAGGATAGAAAACTTTTAAGATGGTGACACTTATTATTTCCAGATTTGGTGGTAGGGCTAAATAATAGAAGAAATGGTATGACATCAGAATAATTTCTTTCATGGTTATGAAATTGTATTAAAGTGTAAACAGTGTTGCAACATTCTTAAAGTTTTTTTTAAAAAGATTGGTGATACAGAGGAAATGAACATTAATCTCACAACACAGAAACAACCATTTTTAATGCCTATATTTCTTCTGTATTTTTAATGGGCGTTATAACCTTATTGGAATCATAATTGAAATCTAATTTTGTCACTTTCTTTTTGCTTGCCAATACAGTGGTATCTTGGTTTACAAGCTTAAGTCTTTCCACAATTTAGGTTACAGACCGAATTGGACAAGAATTGAATCTCCTCATAAGGTCAGCTTTGAACCGAACCATTGAAATTTGATTTGATTCTCATCTAATTTGGTTTGCCACTAGAATCATAGAATTAAGTCCATGAAGGTACCACTGTACAAGGTCTTGCATATACTATTAAAAATTCTTCTTTAACAGTATTTCTCATGAAATAATAACCAATTAGTTTGCTGTGCTGTTACTTTCTCCTGTCTTTGGTAATATTTTTTATCTTGAAAAAGTGATAACACTTTGAGGAAGGAAGTTGGGGGTCTGGTAGCTGGAGAGGAAGGGAAAAGAAATTTTTGCTGCAAACTACTATTTGAATTTCGTGCTAAGTTTTATATCACCTATTCAAAAATAGTAAGTACAAGTTAAAATTTTAATGCTTACTTGTATATACTTCATGTGCAAATCTCACCCTGAAACTTGGGTACAAAGTGAGACCATACTGAAAATAGTGCTCAGCCACATGACTGAGAAATTAAAAAGGTCTACATAGCTATTGAACTTCCTATCAGTAAAATTGGGCCTGACATCTATCATCTCTACACCCATGAAATAGTTATAGACCATTAGAGACACATTATTTCTCTTTGTTATTTGTAATAATGTTTTTCTTTTTTAAATCCACTTTCACTTGATGCTATGACTGCAGAGAGTTTGAAGAGATATAGCTGGGTGTGGTGTCACCCACCTGTAACTCCAACACTTGGAAGCCTGAGGCAGGAGGATTGCCATGAGAACAAGGCCATCCTGGCTACATAGTATGCTTAAGACTAGCCAGAACTACATAGTGAAACCGTATCTCAAAAAGACAAGCAAGCAAACAAATAATTTGAAGAGATAATGATGATGGACATAGTTCCCAAACATTATTCTGAATGTTTATAATTAACCCTTGATAGAATAAGTAGGAGAGAGGTAGGGATAGTACTATATAGAAAATGTAGGGGGAGGAAACTTTATGTAATATGTTCTGTTTTGTTGCTTGCTTATTTTGCTTGATAATATGGTGAGAATATCTTCCCATGTGAATAAATGTATGTCCAGGGGATTTTTTAGTAACTGCAGATTATTTGTTGCAGGGAACTAATTCAACTTAGTTTAGCTGGCATCCTTTTCCCTCTTAATCATTATGTAGAATATCCCATAGCTAATTTTTCTTTTATCTCTATTTACTAAGATATATTTCATAAAATAGAATTGGGTTAATCATTATGCTGACCGCTATTATAATCACTTGCCAGATCCCCAAGGAGAAAGCTGTAATGCACTTTAATATTTAAATTCATCATTTGGGTGTCTCTGTGTCTGGGGCTCATTCATTTTCCTGGAGATTATTCTGAATATTTCTGCTTTTTTGTTTGAATCTGTTACTTTCTTCTTCCCAACCTTTTTTCACAAAATAGTTATCCATTTTACACAAGGTCTCTTCTTGAAGATGGTATTTGGAGAAGCCATAACAAATGGAAACTCCCCAGTATAAGCCTCCTTATTTCTCTTCCACTCTCAATCATAATTATAATTGTCTTACTTGTGTGTTACACTGCTTACTTCTTCCTTTTTTGAGCAGTCAGCCCTCCATATCCATGAAGGATATATCCTGTGAATGAGATCTTTTACTTGCTTTTAACTTGAAGATGGAGTCCCTTCAAAATTTTACCCAAAGCCCGTGTGTGTGTGTGTGTGTGTGTGTGTGTGTGTGTGTGTGTATTTTTAATGCTTAGAATTTTGTAGAAGAATAGAGAACACTGAAGAAGGGGGAAAAAAAGACTTTGGAGCTTCCAGTTGAAAGGAAATGCTTTATTGAATTTACTGGATCCTCTAAGAGAAATTTCCTACTGCAGTGTTTTCTTCCATAGAGAATGCTGTGAGGAAGACCTTTTCATCCAGCATATAAAATGTAGATGTGGTGATAGTAAAACAATAGAGTATATCTTCCTAATAATAACATGTACATCATATATGGGTATGTGATATATATCAGTATTTTGTATTAGATAAGTACAGATGTATGTATATTTTTGCCCCACGTGTCGGGTACAGTTAACTATATTGATTATTTACACCTCACAATTCTTCATATACCTGTTTTACAGATGGAAAGCCGCAGAAGTTAAAGGAGGGAAGTGTTGCCTCCTGAGATTTGAGTATCACTGACCCACTAGTGCTTTGAGTGTAGAATGCCAGATTGATAGTGGCTGCTCTGTGTTCAGTAGAGTGGGTGTCTGTGGTAGTTGGCAGGGCAGCAGTCAGGGATTTGCTGCAAACACTGCAGTGCTGCAGTGATTCTACTTCCTGCACTGCCATTTGGAGTGAGGGCTCAGAGGTGTCACTTTGACAGGTGGAACCAACTAACCAGACCCGTCAACTGAGACCTGACTCTCACGGTGCAGGAATGCCCTTAAGTTTTGTTTTTTTACACCACTTGTGTCCTTTATCTTCTACCGGGACAAAGTAGCAGAATCCACAATGAAGGATGGTCATATTTGAGACATAAAACATTTTACAGACTACTTCTGAGTTCCAATTCTGGTGTCCTTTTGTCTCTGTCATTTATTACCTTGGTAACCACAGGCAAGTTTAACTTGTTTACCTCAGTTTTATATAGGCAGCAAGGATAACTATGTTCATGTGTGTAAGAATCAAACGGGCAACACAGAGAGAGCAGTCTACCTGTCTAGCATATATTGGCCATTAGTAAATAACAGCCATTATCACCATGATCATTATTAACGACAAAAGAGTAAGTTGATTCTGTGTATCTATTTTTAAAAGACCATAATCATATACAAAGCATGATTTTTAAAATTAATTGCAGATCTGAAATTATTGACACAATTATATTACAAGTCAGTATCGTTATTGATTTAAAAGAACGTAAAGAATGATAGACTGGGAATATCCTCCCAGATTTATTAGTCCATGATTACTTTACAGATAAACTGAGGCTTATTGAGGGAAGATCTCTCGCAACTTTATGTAGCTGAGTGGCAGAGTAGTGGCAGAGATAGGACTAGACAACATGCCTGAGTATTGTTACTTTAAACAGTGATTTGGCAATAAGTATTTTATAGTGTCCTAGAAAACTGTGACATTTAGGTCTATTGCAATGATCCATGTTATATACAAATTGTACATTACGTATTGTGAGAGGGCTAGATGAAATGGCTGATGGGTAACTAGAATGTCTACATAGGTAAATTAGTATAGTAGGAAACTTGGAGGTTAGAAGCCAAAGAACCTATGGGTTAATACTAGGCAACATAGTGTTGTAGGGATTTTAGACAAGTTACTTCATCTCTGCTTCCTTAGCAAAGTAAAAATCATTATTATGTGCCTTGTCTCTCCTTCACAGTGTGGTTAAAAAATACAATCATTTCATGAACTTAAATCTGTGATTCTGGTTGCAAACTGAATTCAATGAGAACTGAATCAAATTTCCCCATGAGGTCAGTATTGAACCTAACTACTGGATTTGATTTTGTTCTGGTCCAATTTGGTTTGT